ACAGTAACAACAAAATCTCCAATGGAGATGTTACTGGGCCCGCTCGAGCAAATCGATGAACAACGGGACGGCCTCGAGGGCCTTCTTAAGAGAATAGAATCAAAGGCCGCCATTAATAAAAGGTCCAAGTGACAAGAGATGTTTTATTTATTTTTTATTGTTTTTTTTAACTGTTTTTTGCTTTTTGGGTCACACCCCGCGATGCACAGGAGTCACTCTAGACTCATATACTCAGAAATTACTCCAGGCAGCACCCAGGGGGACCATATGTGATGCTGGGAATCGAACCCCGGGCGGTCGCCTGCAAAGCAAACCCTCTAGCCCCTGTGCTATCGCTCCAACCCTGACAAGGGATGTTTTAAATACGAGTCCATCTCAATATGTATCTGAGTGTCACCTAAACAGGGTTTTTAGTACTGGAAGTAAAGGATGGGATCAAAAGCACCGAATCAGTCATCTTGTCCCAGCTTTCAATCAGCAAATACTAGTGGCGCACGTAATCAGCATCCCAGGCGTAAAGAATATGGTGGACGGCAACAGACGCATTTCGCACTTCAGGTTCACAGGCAGAAGGTAGGGACTAGGAGGGAAAAAAAGTGTGGCAAAGTCAAAGTTGCCGTGAGACACGGCCCGGTTCTAGTGTGCATGCGTTCCTCGCCTTATGTCCCGACATGCCTAATCTCTTCCGGTTTGAATTATCTCTTCCGGGGCAGCTCTAGTCCAATGGGATTGCTCGCTGAAGCCGGGCGACCGTTAAACGGCTTTTTCCAGAGGTCGTTACATCCGCATCTTGGAGCGGAAACCTGTGGAAGATGAAGTAAGGCTCCGGTTGTCCTCCGTGGAGTGTGGGAGGTCGGGGCTGGGGGATTGGGATGCGGGGCGGGAGGAGCTGAGGGAAGTGGCGGGGCGGGGGGCGAAGCGTCCGAGGGGGCGGGGGTCGCGAAGTCCGGACGGCGCCGAGACTCACTCTTCTAGGGTACCCCTAGTTGGGCGCTCTCTGTCGCCGGGCCGTTTCTTTACTCGGTGGCAACTTCTGTAGCCCGTTGACGAAATTGAAGTTAATCAACGAGCTCAAGGAGCGAGGGGACCAGCTGGGGGTGGCGGAGAAGGTGTCCTGGCACGCCGAGTACAAGGACAGCAGCGCCTGGATCTTCTTGGGTGAGTTCTGCTGCCGTGCGCCTCGGGTTCCCCGCCGCCTGGCTTTCGAGGGAGGGTTTCAGCCTTCCGCCTCTCTTCTCCCGTTATTCCTCTACTCTCCCTGGCTCTCGCGACGCCCCTCCCCCCCCGTTTAGGTGACACCCAGCGATGGTCAGACGTCACTCGGGGCTCTGCATTCAGCAGTTACTTCAGGCGATGCTCACAGAACCTATGGGATGGTCCAGGGATGGTGCCAGGGATTGAACCCGGGTCAGCCTCATGCAAGACGACTGCCCTACGTACTACATGAGCGCTCCAGCCCTGCCGGCATGTATTTCTGCTTCTTTTCTTGGGGGCCACACCCGGCAGTTCTCCTGGGTTTCTCCTGGCTCAATGCACCAGGATCACAACTGGCGGTGTCTGGGGGAATATATGGTATGCCAGAGATTGGACCCCCGACATTGGCCACGGGCAGGGCAAGCGCCGTACCCACGGTACTATTTCTCCAGCACCCTTATTTCTGTTCTTTTTCCAGGTTTTTATTTTTCCCCGCATTCCCCCCCCCCCACAATTACCTCTTTCTCTTCCCCCTCTCCATTTCCTTTGTCACCCCCTCTCCCCTCTTCTCCCCGACCCTTCATGTCCATTTTCCTTTCCCCTGTCGTCCTCTACGCCTCTCCTTATCTCCTTATTTTCCTCTCCTCCTCCCCTTGCCCTCTCCTTCCCCCTCCCCCGTGCTCTCCCCCTCTTCTTCCCACGCCCCCTGCTCTCCCCATTCCCTTTCCTCCTCTATTTTTTAATGTTGTACAGTTTTATTTATTTTTAATTTTTAATTTCGATAGCACAGCGGGTAGGGTGTTTGCCTTGCAAGTGCCCAATATGGCCGACTCGAGTTCGATTCCTCCACACCTGTCAGAGAGCCCAGCAAGCTACCCTTTGTATCTCGCTGGCTCGGCAAAGCCTGGCACGCTCCCCTTGACATTTTCAATATGCCTAACACAGTAACAACAAGTTTCACGATGGAGACGTTACTGGGCACACTAGAGCATATATCTATGACCAACGGTGGGACAGTACACTTCAGTGCTTCTTTTTGGGTCACACCCGGCCTTGCACAGGGTTACTCCTGGCTTATGCACTCGGGAATTACTCCTGGGACTATATAGGATGCTGAGATTTGAACCCGGGTTGGCCATGTGCAAGGCAAACACCCTACCTGCTGTGCTATGCTCCAGTTCCTGTCCTCCCCTTACCCTTCTCATCCTCTTATAATCCTCTCCCTTATTCCTTCTTCGTTTTCCCTTCTCCCTTTCATCCTCTTTCCCTCTCCTCTTCCCCTTTTCTCCCCTCCTCTTCCTCTTCCCTTCACTGATTTACTCTCTCCCTAGCCTTCCCCCATGCCTCTCTTCACTTCTGACTTATTCCCACTCCCTTTACCCTTCCATCTTCCTCTTTTTTGCCTTCCACCACCCCTCCCACCTCTCCCGCTTTCACTTCCCCATGCCCTCCCTCTTTTCTTTTTTCTTACCTTCCTCTTCCCTTTCCACTTCCCCCTTTCCCCTTATCTCTTCCGCCACTTCTTGTTCTTTCCTTTCTCCTCCCCTACCCCTCACTCCTATCTTCTTCGCCCTGCCCCTTTTCACTTTCCCCATCCTCTCATTGCTTTGCCTGGGACACATTCCTAGCTGCTTTGAAAAATCTCATAAGTCATACGGGCTGGAGGGATAGCACAGCGGGTAGGGCTTTCGCCTTACACGCGGCCAACATGGCCGACCCGAGTTCGATTCCTCAGCCCCTCTCGGAGAGCCCGGCAAGCTACCGAGAGTATTCGATATGCCAGACACAGTAACAACAAAGTCTCCAATGGAGACGTTACTGGGCCCGCTCGAGCAAATCGACGATCAACGGGAGGGCCTTTACCTTACCTAATAAACGCATTTATAGAGGTAGGACATGTTTGAATGAGGATTTACATTTGTGAAATGCTTAAAAGTTTTCTTTATAATCCTTAATCTGTGTGAGGTAGGGTTAATATTTATATATTCAAACTGATTTTGCGGGGCAAGGAGATAGCGGGTTAGGACCTTAGATTATTAAACTAGGTCTGATGTCCCACAGCACTAAAAGCACTGCTCAATGCTTCAAGAGGTATATCCTTGGTGGTGCCCAGAGCACTGCCAGGTGGCACTGGAGGTTCCCCAATCTGCAGTGTCAGTGCAGCACCACATCCTTGAGCCCTTCCACTGAGTTGTCTGACCCAATATCCACGGAATGGTCCCTGGGTTCTGTTTGTAAGGCCCCCTTGCAGACATTTGATTTTGAAGGTAGCTATGGTGGATAATGAGCAGATAACTTGAACAATTTTTTTTTTGTATTTTGGGCACAGTGGTGCTCAGTCTTACTCTCCAATTTGATGTGTGCTAGTACTGTGCCATTATTCTTTCATGTTGAGAAGTTTTTAGTTTGAGGTCTAGAGAGGCCTTTTAAAACCAGTTCCTCTACTGTTTCTTTGATTTTTGTCTTGAAATACTGCTTATATTTCATGTTCATGTATTTTAAACTTTCATTTCAAAACTAATACAGAAAAATTATAAAATGTAAGGAATGCCACTCTATCCCCTTAGCCAAGTCCCTGTCTATTACTATAGTATCTAATTGTTATTACTATTTTTACCTGTTTCACATTATCTGATTTTACTAAATTATCTTAGAGTCCATTGCAAGACATGATTTGTGTGTTTGGACCATACCTGGCGATGCTCAGGGATTACTCCTGGCTGTGCACTCAGGAATTACTCGTGGTGGTGCTTGGGGTAGCACATGGGATGCTATGTGAACCCTAGTCACGAGACAAGTGCCTTGTGCTGCCCTCCAGCCCAGTACCAAAATTCTTCAATTTGTTTTTTCAAAAGAATAATGCCATCAGGAAATCAACTGTCATACAGAAGTATTATCGAACCTTTCTGTTTTATTCAGTTTCACCTTCTGTCTCAAAAAGCCCTTTGTTGTTTCTGGGCCTTACCCAGTGGTGCTTAGGGGCTACTCCCAGTCCATTGCTCGGGGTCGTTCTCACTGGTGCTCAAGGGACCATATGGTGCTGGTGATCAACCCTGAGTTTCTAGAATGCAGTGCAGTGGTAACAGCCCTTTGAGTCGTCTCCCCAGCTTGCTGTTAATCTCTTTAGTGTAGCAGAAAAATTGCTTTGTAGTCCTTGATCTGTCATGTAAATTATAAAAATCTCTTATTCTTTTTTATCTTGCCAGAAATTTCAGGGTTAAGTGCTTGTCTTGCATGTGGTTCATCCTGGTTTTTTTTTTCTTAAATTTTTATTAGTGAAACACCATGAGGTACAGTTGTAGACTTACAAATTTTTGTGTTAGGGTTTCAGTTATACAATGATTGAATATCCATCCCTCCACCAGTTCACATTATCCACCACCAACAGTCCCAGTATCCCTACCACCCCCACCCCCCTATCCCACCCTACCTCTGTGTTAATCCCCAGCATCACAGATGGTCCCCTAGAGTGTCTAGAATGACCCCTGAGCATAGAGCTAGGAGTAACACCCGAGCACCACTGGATATTTCTTTTTTCTTAATTTTTGGGTCACACCCGGCAATGCACAGGGGTTTCTCCTGGATTTGCATTCAGGAGTTACACCTGGTGGTGCTCAGGGGACCATGTGGAATGCTGGGAATTGAACCCAGGTTGGCCACATGCAAGGCTAATGCCCTATCTGCTGTGCTATCACTCCAGCCCCGTTCCTAGTTATTCTTATGTTCATTTTCCCACAAGAATGTTGGAAACAACTTACTCTACTTCAGGGAAAAAAGGTGTGCATTTTAAAACTGGAATGAAGTTTATATATTAATTTTGAGAAGGATTTTTAGTGTTTTGATTATGTTTGCATATCCTAACCAACAACAAAGGATATTTTTCTGCCAATTTTATTTTTATAGAATTGTTCAGAAGAATTTATTACATTCACTATTCCATCACCAATTCCACCACCATTACACCTTCTCACCCCCATTATTTCGGATTGTCTGACCACAACTTAAGCCTGCCCTCAAACCAAGTACTAGATAATACATTTTGTATTGCTTGTTATGAATAATGCATTAAAATGATCCAAAAATGTTTTCTTATTTGTATATGTGTGAAGATTTTTGTATCTCACCTTAGAGCCATTAAGCCCAACAAGGGATATTTTTATATTTTTATATTTACTTAAACCTATGTTTCTTTGAGGAGTTATAAAAAGTATTACTGAAAGTACCATTTATACTTTATTTTTCTTTTGGTGTGATACCTGATGTTGCTCATGGCTTATTCCTGGCTCTGTTATCAGTGTCCCCTAGTGTCAGGGCCCAGGGCCCATATGTCATAACGAGGATTAGGCCAAGTCTGTCACATTTCAGGCAAGCGCTTTGACCCTGTACTCTATCTCCAGCCCTGTTCAAGTCCATTTTCATTATTTATTTATTTACATTTTTTTGTTTTGGCCATATTCTGCGTGCTCCGGGTTTATTCCTGACTCTGCATTCAGGAATTAGACCTGACAGTGCTTGGGGGACCTCATAGAGAGAATAGAACCCAGGTGGGATATGTGTAAGGCATGTGCCCTACCCACTGTACTCTTTCTCCAATCCCTCAAGTTTATGTATTTATTTATTTTTGTTTTTGGTCCATACACGGCAGTGCTCAGGTGTTACGCCTGGCTCTGCCCTCAGAAATTTTTCCTGGCGGTGCTTAGGGGACCATATTGGATATCGTGGATCGAATTTGTGTCTGACACTTGTAAGGCAAGTACCTTCCCCACTGTACTATTGTTCTGCCCCTGAAGATTTTTTTAAATTTTATTTTTCTTGCTAATTATAAATGTGGTTCCTTCTCCATTATATATTTCTAACCAATCACTGTTTGAATTCAAGAAAGTGGTTTATCCCAAGCACAAAAATTTATAAGTCTATAACTGTACCTCATGGTGTTTCACTAATAAAAAATATATTAAAAAAGAAAGTGGTTTATTTGTAACTATATCCTAGTTTGAAGAAAAAATTTAATTAGGCATTGTGATTTTAAGTAAATTTTGGACTCTTAATTAGGAGTATTTTGGGTTTTCTATAGTACAATCACATCTAGTCTTCAAACGGATACGGTTTCACCTTTTATTTCTGATTTATTTTATTTCTGATGTTTTCTCCTAATTGCATTGGCAGATAACAGTACACTGTAACACTGTCCTCCCGTTGTTCATCGTTTTGCTCCAGCGGGCACCAGTAACATCTCCATCGTGGGACTTATTGTGACTGTTTTTGCCATAACAAATACGCCACGAGGAGCTTGCCAGGATCTGCTTTGCGGACGGGATACTCTTGGTAGCTTGCCAGGCTCTCCAAGAGAGATCGAGGAATCAAACCCGGGTCGGCTATATGCAAGGCAGGTGCTCTACCCGCTGTGCTATAGCTTCATCAATTAAGTAGGTAAATGTTCTTGGCAACACTTGAGCTGTTTTTTGTACTTTTTATTAAAGATTCTAGGTTTTGGCTGAAATATGTGTCTATGATTATGTTTATAATGTATTCATCAATTTTTTTTTTGTATTTGGCCCTATCCACTGATGCTTGGGAACTTTTTCCAGCTTGGTGCAGGGGGAGTACTTCTGGTGGTACCTGGGGAAGCATTTGGTACCAGGAATTGAGCCTAGGTGTCCCACCTGCAAAGCATATACTGAACTCACCACTGAGTTTTCTGCTTGCTGTTTTCTTTTTCTGACTCTATTAAAAATATTAGGTTTTTGTTTTTGTGCCTCACCTGGCAATACTCATAGGTTTGGGCTCAGGATTCATACTTTGTGGTGCTTGAAGAATGTATGAGATGCCGGGGATTGACCCTGGGCCGGCCGTGTGCAAGGAAAGTACCTTACTAGCTATACCGTTGTCCCAGTGACACCGAGCTCTGCTCAGGGATTACTCCTGGCTTTGTGCTCTGGGATCTCTCCTGGGAGTGATTGAGTATGTTAATTTAGGTGGGAGGCATGGATTTTGAATCTTAGTTATTATCTGTATATTTAAACCTTTTACCTTTTTAATTGAATCACTGTGAGATAGACCCTTAAAAAGCTGTTTGAGATTAAGTTTCAGTCGGTGTTCCAACACCCATCTCTCTACCAGTGTATATTTCCCAGCACCGGTGTCCCCAGTTTCCCCTCCCATCACCCTTCACCCCCCACTCCCCAGCCTTCAGCTATGGCAGGCACTTTTCTTGTCTTCACTCACTGTTTAAATGGGACATTTCTTATTAACTTTTTTGTCTTATTTAGGGATGCTACACCAGTGGTGCTCAGGGATCACTCCTGGTGGGGCTCAAGGAATGATATGGGGTGCTAGGGATTGAACCTGATTGACTGCATGCAAGGCAAGAGCTCTCCCCACTGTCGTGCTTTAGCTCCCTCCCTATAAGTTTTTATAGTTAACCTTCATTTGTCATCTGGTTCTAGCTTTTTCTTTATAGTCAATATTTAAGTTTTGTTTGTCATCCATTCTGAACATTTTACTTCAAATAGTGTCTTTTTTTGTTAAATAGATATGGTGAGATTGTTAACATAAGTCTGGTACACAATAAGAAGACTGGGAAATCCAAGGGATTCTGTTTCCTTTGCTATGAAGACCACCGGAGCACAATTCTGGCTGTTGACAATTTTAATGGCATCAAGGTGAGTAAAAGTATGAAGCAGGATTTGGCGGAATGTTTCTGATGGAATGGTTTGGTTTTATTTTTCCCCTGATTCAGAGAGGCCCAGGGGCCACCAGGATGAGACTATAAGAGTTTCAGGGGTGTGGGGAAATTGTTCTAGGGAGCAATTACATGGGCCTGTGCCCCAGTCAGCATTTCTTTCTTCCTCAGTATTAGCTATTCCCCCACCCACCCAGGGAGGCCTTTGTTTCTTACCTTTCCCTCCTCACCACTGTATTTCTCCAGCCCAGGAGAGTGACTGTTAGAGAATTTGTCACTGATTGCACCAGTAATAAGTAGTTACGAGGACAGCATGGAATGGGGTTATAGGTTTTCATTTTATGGATCCTATATTCAAAGTCAGTCAAAGAAGGGATGGTTTTCAAAACATGTTTTCCCTCTTTGGGTCATACACAGCGATGCTCAGGGTTACTCCTGGCTCTGCACTCAGGGAATACTCCTGGCCTTGCTGGGGGAACCATATGGGATGCTGTGGATCGAACCTGTTTCGGCCACGTGCAAGGCAAATGCCTTACCCTCTGTGCTGTCACTCTGGACCCTCAAAAATGTCTTTATTTATTTGTTTATTTATTTAATTTGTGTTTTGGGTGACACCTGGGGATGCACAATGACTCCTGCTTCTGCACTCAGGAATTACTACTTGCCTTGCTGGGGGAACCATATGGGATGCTGGGAATTGAACCGTGATTCGCCGTGTGCAAGGAAAATGCCCTATCCTCTGTGCTCTCTCTCCAGGTCCTCAAAAATGTTTTTCAATGGGAAATGTGATAGATGATAAAAGGTGGATTAGACTGAAAGTAAAACTAAAATCAGACCTTGTATTGGAACAATAAAAGCTAGACTTTGGGAATGTTGAGTGCCTAATGAATATAGAATTGAGTATGTATCAGAGAGTGAAGTGATCCTACTGTGGGTAGGGCTCAGACCTTACCAGGCTGACCAGGGTTATGACCTGGACAGCCCATATGATCTGAGCACATTCAGTAGTGGTTCAACATCCCCCACCATCAAAAAAGAATTTTTAAGTATGTGCTTGATAAAAGAAATGGTTTTGTTTGATGTGAGTTTTTAATATTCTGTTGTTTGCCCAGAGTTTGTGTTTCACAGCAAAAGTATCAGTGTGAGCTAGTTACAAAAATTCCCAGAGTTTTTTTTATATCATGCCATCAATAGAGCACAAAAATATTTGTATGGCACACAGGGGTAAACTGACCGCAGATGCTAGTGCACTTGCCTCAGGGGCGCAGTAGCCCTCAGTCCTGTGGTTGCCCTGAGAGCAGAGAAAATTACTGGCTGGGAAATGTGCTCAAACACACCTGTTGGGCAAACAGTTTTGGAGATTTCCCCAGATATAGAATTAGCACGAAGTTTGGTGGGTCACTTCGTTTCGTAGAAGGGCTATCTTTGCTGATGCGTTGTCTTTCTGTCTGAGATCAAAGGACGGACTATACGAATGGATCATGTGTCTAACTATAGGGCTCCTAAGGACTCAGATGAATTGGATGATGTGACCAGATTGCTTCAGGAGAAGGGTTGTGGGGCACACAAGCCTCCAAAATTTTCAGATGAGGACTCTGAGGATGACAAGCCCACAAAAAAACGCAAAAAAGGTAAAGTGTTATGACCAAAAATGATTCCAGGTGGTCTTAACTTTTTTGATGGATAAAGCTGTTTATTTAACGGTAGAAAGGTAATTTTATTTCCTAATAGAAAGAAAATGTTCATATAACCAAAACTCTTAAGAAATAGTGACTTAGTAAGCTTAAGTTTATGTCAAGATACAAATATAGATACTGATTATTTTTCTTTTTTCTCCTACCTGGCGATACACAGGGGTTACTCCTCGCTCTGCACTCAGGAATTACACATGGTGGTACTCAGGGGACCATATGGGATGCTGGGTATCGAACCCGACCCGGGAGTGTGCAAGGCAAATGCCCTACCTGCTTCGTTATTGCTTCACCCCAATACTATTTTTATTTCATCCGACTTCCCTAGAGAAAAGTAAATTTAAGGAATATCTGATGGGCATACACACTTTCTAGAAAATCTTCTAAGACATTTTCAAAGCTCATGATTTTTATATTAGAGGATGACAATTACGATACTTTGACTCTTCATCTTATAAACTTTGCTTTTTTTGCAGTCTTGCCATGAATATTAATATACTATTAAAATTCAAATAATTAAACTGGATGATAATAGTGCAGCGAGTGGGTAGCGTGTTTGATTTATACACAGCCAACCCGGGTTTGAACTCTTGCATACTGTATGGTCCTCCAAGCATCACCACCCCAACTTCAAGTTAGTTTTGGGGGGTGGGAGTCACACCTGATGGTGCTTTGGCTTACTCCTGGTTCTGCATTTGATCTAGTGTATTTAGAAAATAGGAACTTTTGTGGGAGAGTTGTATATTTTTTCATTTCCTATTTGTTGCTTTCGTCCATTTTTTTTCTCTCCAGACAAAAAGGAAAAAAAGTAAATGAATAAAAGCGGGAGGTACAGCACGATGCACCAGTCTCCTCTTCATCACCCAGAAGCAAGATGCTAAAGGAAAACAATTCCCCCGACTGTAAAAAGTTTAACAACAAGAACTCAAAAAATGTTCAGAAGTCAGAATTCAGGGAGGGGCTGAAGCAGTACCACACCTCCCTTGAGGTCAGGACAGCCTACCACTCCTGAACAGAGGCCGGAGCAGAGACAGGGAGCCAAAGAAGAAGAAGCCCAAACAGGAACACAGGTCCTTAAGTAGGAGGGAGGAAAGGGAAGAAAAGAACAGGGATAGGGACAGAGATCAAAGGTCAGATACCCACATTGGCTGGCAGGCACAAGGAGCATTCTAAATGGCATGGTCCTAAGAGTAGGAGTAGGAGCAATGATATATCCCACAGGTATCAAATCCTGGCACTCCCGGAACTTGGGATCTCCCAATTCCAGAGATTACAGGCATCACTAAGACTGCAGCCGATTGAGTTGCTTGGTAGAATTGCACATGAAATGGTGTGTTCTTGTGTGTGTGTGTGTATGTTTGTGTGTGTATGTTGGGTCCCACCAGGATGTACTCATGACTTACTACTAGCTCTGTGCGTACGGGTCAATCCTGGCAGGGCTCAGGACTATATGAGGTTCTGGGGACAGAACATAGGACAGCTGCCTGGAAAAGAATCACCCTGTCCACCGAAGTGTCTGTCTGGCCCCAGATTTGAACTTTTATAAGAAGCATTTTTTAAAAATCAAAACCAATTATATCTCACTTTTGATATGTAAAATCTTTTGGAGGTCAATAATTTTATTCCCGTGTACATTAATCCTTGAGGGATATATACTCTCTAAAGTCTGATGCCCTTACTTCTTTTGGGCGCGGGTGGTCAGGTAACACCTGGTGATTCTTCTGGATTTCTCCTGGCTCTGCACTCAGTTATTACTATTGGCAGTGCTTGGAAGACCATATTGGATGCCAAGGAGATTGAACGCAGGTTAGCTATGTGCAGTTCACACGCCTGACCTGCTTTTTCATCTCTCCATTGCCTCATGTTCTTAATTTTTAAGCGCAGTTTATTATCCTTGGGAATATATTTGATACCAATCAGATTACATGTGGTAAATTGGTTCATATATAGATCCAAGAACCTAACCCCCCCCCAAGAACGATGAGAAATATTTAAGAAATAGGAAAACATTAGTTCTTGAATTTTCATCTGTGTTGGATGACTTTCCATTTGGCAGATAAAACCGATAGAGATGTGTGACTTAATTCGGTTTAAGTAGCGTGACATAGATACAGTAATGAAGCTGTTAGTCTGTTCTGTTTATTTTGAGATGTGTCTTTTCCTGAACCATTTTTTTGGTTGATACTTTTCCACATATGTTCCTTGGCATTTATTTTTATCGAGAAATTGACACAACAAAATTCATCTCATACAGAAATGTACTTTTTCAAAATTGCCTTAAAATTGTTTTGAAGTATTGTGAAGGTTCTGCTGTTAACTTCAGACCTTTATATATGTATAATTGTCACAACATCCACCACCAAGCTTTGGTTGCTATCCCACCACCAAAAAGACTATGCTGGTTCCTTGCTCTACCAACTCCATCTCTCTGAGAGTCACCATTGTATTCCTTCGGTCTAGCAAGTTTGTTATTTTCTTTCACTTTTAATTTTTTTAGTGAAGCAGGAGAGTTAATATAATTGTTTTTTTGGGGGGTGGGGTTGGGGTCAGACCTGGTAGAAACTCAGGGGTTGCTGCTAGCTCTACACTCAGTAATTACGCGTAGCTGTACTTGGGGGACCACATGGGATGCTGGAGATAGAATGCGGGTTGGCTCTGTGTAGGCACATGCTCTCCTCACTGTACTATTGTCCAAGCCCTTAAGCAAATTAGTTTGAAAACTTGAAAAGCTGTGACGGTAGAGAAAGGAAGAAATGTGTGTTCGGGAGAGAAGACTGGATACTCCAGAGTAGAAAAAGGTAAATAAAGAACATAGAGGCAAGTGATATGCATGTTTAAGTGAGTACATAGACTTAAAGAGCAAGCCCATTTTGTTAGTTCTTTGGGGTGTACTTTCTTTAGTAATGCATGCTCCAAATGAGTAAATAGTGATGATTGTCTTTCACTTCCAGACTTAGCTCATGGTCTATTTCAGTTTGTCCAGAATAACATTTCATCTTTAAAATTGGCAGAATAGTATTCTAGAGTCAGTATGCCCTTGCTTCTTTAGCCAGTCATATGTGGATGGGCATTTAGGTGAATTCGTATGTTTCACCTATCACGAATCTGCTATGATCAAATCGGGTTATAAATGTCTCTAGATGGGTATTTTTCATGTCAGATAAATGCCCAGAAGCGTTTTTTTTTTCAGGAGTAGTTTTCTTGTGTCACAGTATTTCCTTTTCTTGTATTTTAGGCCATATCTTGTTCTGCTCAGGGCTTACTTCTGGCTTTGTACACAGGAATCACTCCTGACAGGTTTCGGAGAAAATATGCTTTGCTGGGGACCAAATCATGGTCACCTGCATGCAAGGCACACACCTTACTTAAATACTCTGTCAATCCTTGAGAATTAACCATTTTGTCATAGACTCACAGACTCTGACTCTGAGGGTTGATATCTGTGCTCTGAATTCAGGATTCCATGTATCTGAAAGTTCCATCATTCCTTTAAGTTTGTAAGTTTATTTAAACACTTATTTACAAAGTAGCCTGTCCCAACACTGAGAAAGCCTGTAGATTTTAGTCACAAAGACCTGCAGACCTGAACTTTCAGCAGGTTAATTTCTGGGTGAGTCCTGTTCTGAGATAGTGGAGACTGACCAGATGCATGACTGCGATTTTGCAGTTGGGGAGTGACCAGCAGCCGGGGCTCTGTTTGGGCGGGCCCTGGGCTGGCCCCTGAGGTCTCAGCCATGCATGGGTGATAGAAGGAGTTTTGGCAGCTGTTTGTTCTCTTTCAAGATTTTGAGTCATTGAAGCAAGAATGATAGAAGAGCCTTCGCGGTATGGTGGTTGATTCGTGGGTATGACTGCAGAGCTTCCAGAAGTACAGGGAGGTAAGGGGAGGTAGCCCATTCCAAGTCAAGTTATCAGTCACAAAAAATTGCATACTTGAATTTTCAGCAAGTTACTTTCTCAGTACAGGTCAATCCTGAAACAACGGGTTCCACCCAGAGAGAAGGCAGTGTGGGCTGTCTTTCCCACCGTGTAGAAAGTTTTCTTGCATTCACAGGGTTTCTCTCCTTTGTGAATCTTCTCAAGTTCAGTGAGGTCTCATTTCAATGGAAAATCTTTGCCTACATTTCATGCTCTAAGGGTCTGTCTCCTTTGTAAGGTATTTTGTGTATCGGGTGAACTTATTTGTTGTAAAAAGTTTTCATCCACACTTTACATTCATATCGTTTCTCTCCTGCACGAATTATGTTGAGTGAGGTACAATTCTATCAAAAAGGTTTTATTACATTCTTTGCAATAAACAGTGTTTTTCACGTGTATGAATTCTATATTGTTTAATGAGATACGATTATAATGAGAACGTTTTCCTGTTTACTTTCCATTCACAGGTTTTCTCTCCATGAATTTCACTCCTATTCAGTGAGGTATGATTTTTTTTTTTTTGCTACTTGAGTCACACCTGGCGATGCACAGGGGTTACTCCTGGCTCTGCACTCAGGAATTACCACTGGCGGTGCTCGGGAGACCATATGGAATGCTGGGAATGCCTTATCTGTTGTGCTATCGCTCCAACCCAATGCGAGGTATGATTTAAAAGGAAAGTTTTCCTACTTGCGTAGGGTCTCCTCTCATGGTTAGTGAGGTTTGATTTCAATGAGAATGTTTCCCTACATTTACAGGGTTTCTCTCGTGTGAATCCTGTTATGTTCAGTCAGTAATGACTTAATGGAGAAAGATTTCTTCCTGCATTCACTGCATTGGTAGGGTTTATCGCATGTGAATTCTTATGTTTAATCAGACATGACTTACAAGAGAAAGATCTTGAGCATTCAGTACATGAATTAGGTTTCTCTCTTGTTTGAGTTCTCATGTTGAATGAGAGAGGATTTCACTGTGAATGTTTTCCTACATTGTATATGTACATAGGGTTTCTCTCCTGTGTGAAATCTTTCATGTTGAATTAGATCTGGCTTCCTTGAGAAAGTTTTTCTACATTGTTTTTATTTGTGTTTCTCTCCTGAGAGACTCTGTTTTGAGTTATCTCTCATCCATGGCTCTACTCCTTGTTTTATTTTTATTTTTTCATGGCTCTACTCTTTCTTCAACTTGATGATTGCTTCAGGTGTGATGACAGAATGTCCCAATGATTCCAGGTCCTGTAGTTTTCCAGTGTCACCTCACTGAACGGGGTCCTCTGTTCATCAGCCAGGAACTGCCATTCTTTCCACGTGAAGTTCACACGCTCCTCCTCAAACAGCACTGTCCCCAGAGGTGATTTCATTGGGAAAGCACTAGCATCAGAGGACATGAGTATGTATGGGATGGAGGGCTCCTGAGGTACAGAAGGAATGGTCTTGTGTTTTAGTTGTTTTGTTTTGTTTTGTTTTGTTTTGGGACCACACCTAGCGATGCTCATTCATTATTCCTGGGTCTAAACTCAGGACTTAATCCTGGCAGAACTTGAGGAACCATATTAGATGCTGTGGATTGAAGGTGGATTCAAGAAGTAAAAGGCAAATGTCCTACTCACTATTTAGTGCTCTTGCCCAGTGTTCTGGTAGTTCTAAGAAAAATCATAAGCCAATTCTTGTCCACAGTCTGAAATCATATTTTGGGTGGTCTTGACATTCCTGGATGCAAAATGCTTCCTGGGTTCCACAATATTCATTTCCTATTCGAGCATTCCAAAATCTTTGTTCCTGCCATCAAACCAATCAGTTTGATGTTGCAGGGGCAAACCTTGGGGGTCTTTTGTGTTGGGTCCTGCTTTTCCCATGGACAGGATGCCAGGATTGTTGTGTTCCTAGGTGAAATT